GATTTAAATATTGTATACCTGGGTTAGATGTCCTCACAGTACTTGAGTGTGTGAAACCTGGTTCTGTTGGTTAAGTTGCGATGTGGCAAAATTACTGCTGAAATTAAACTAATGTCTCTCACAGTGTGCAAGTTTTGTGACCATCCTCGGTTATCAGGGGCTGTGGGGTAGCCTAGTGGTTAAAGCGTTCACTCGTCACGCCAAAGACCTGGGTTTGATTCCTCACATGGGTACAATGTGTGAAGCCCATTTCTGGTGTTCCCCGCCGTGATATTGCTGGAATATTGCTAAAAGCGGTGTAAAACTAAACTCACTCACTCACTCATATTGCTGGAACACTCACTCTAACCCATTTGCTGTCTTCTCTGACTAAATACTGAAAAATAACATCAATCCAAATTTCATAATGTTTTTTATTCACGCAATTTCAATTGAAATGGTGTGATGTGTCATGACTGGACCCTTTTCAACTGACCCATGCAATAACAAAAACAGAAAAATAATGGTAAAATTAACTGTCAGTATCAACAGTCCACTATATGTTGGATAAATTCAGATAACAGGGAATCAGCAATATGGATCCTAGATATATTCAAACTCTCTTGAATGTGTTTAAGGTTATAACTACCGGTATTCTTGTTTATGAAGGCAGAAATAATATCACAAACTTAACACAATATCAATGTCATTTCGTACCTGCAGCAGTTGATTTCAGCTTCAATTTCACACTGACACACATGGTAGAATATAAGCAATCATTCTCAGATCCTCAAAGCCGTAGTTATGCTAAGAAATATTTTATTAAAATGGTCTTCCAATTTTACCTAAAATAATAGAAATCCTAAACCAAATAATACCAAAGAAGTACTTCTTCCTTGTCTGCGGTATGCATACTGGTGTGCAATTATAAAAACAAGGGTTTTCCATACATAATTGTGAGAAAAATTACAACTTTTTTCTATCACTGTCACAAACGTTAATGTATGATACATGTATTATCGATAACACAATTTTCATATCAAGGCCAGACCAATTTTATTTCTTGTCTTACAGATTTTTGTCCTCAGAAAACCTAAAGGCAGGAGGTAAAAATACAATCACCAGTCAAAGTAATATTCCTTCTAAATGCTAAAAGTATTTTTACTTTTGGCAATTTATGAAGTGTATGTGGGGCAAAATACAATCTAAAACAAATTCTTGTAAGTTTACATTTTTGGCCAATGACAACATTAAGATTATATTTTTGGAGCAGGAAAATTAATTTTTATTTTTATTCTTAATCTTGAAGAAATATGACCGCCGTCTCTGTAAACACACAAGAAATAAAATTGGTCTGGCCCAATAATCTTTTAAAAATTGTCCTATCGACAATATTTCTGATTATCAATTATTTCAGCCAGTCCTAATGTTGACTAGTTGGCTTCAGCAATATGACATCATAGGCGCCATGGGTGAGGACAGCTGGTGATCCATTGTTCATGGCATCTGGAACTGCGTAAGATCACCCAATGTTCTAACATGACAGATTAACAAGGCAGTTTCAGATTCTCCATGTGGTTGGTCTACTTCAGCAACATGACCTCATACTGCTTCATATCATGTCACTGTTTGTTCATGACACCAAAGAATGATTGGGAACACCCAACTTAGTAACATTTTAACAATAGTCATGTGAGGAAATCGGGAGTTCTAAACTTCTTTTGAGTTGTATAAATTGACAACGGGTAAAATAAAGATCTTTCTCAACTATAGATTCTCTGCCTGGAGTCTTTCCCAAGGAAAATATAATCCATAATTCCTTGTTACTCATCATTCCTAAGGAGAATATAATCCGTAGTTCTTTGTTACTCATAATTCCCAAGGTAAATATTATCTACATCCTTGTTACTTATAATTCCCAAGGGAAATATTATCTTAATTCCTTGTTACTCAGAATTCCCCTAATATATATCACAGTTCTGATATCTCTAACACAGCTGTCTTTGGGGAATACTTTTTACTGACATAACAGTCAAAGGTAATGGCAATTTAACTTAAAATGCATTACTGCATGTACATGCACAATTTGTCTCCAACACATACTACAGTTGTTTCTCACAACAAAAGCAGTTCATGGGAAAATATATTTTCTCTTTCCATAGGCATAGTGACTAACAGTTAACAAACATACAATCTAGATTATACAAAGATGACTTTAGAAAATAGTTTGTACAAAAAAAGGTATTTCCATCACAATTCAGTTTGCTGAAAGGTTGTAACTAGTAATGCTGCCTACGACACCCACTCACATCCTGAATAACTTTTAGCAGCCTCTAATTTGTTTCCCTTTGCATCCATAAAAGGAAAACTTCAAAGACATTGGCTACCTTCTGAGTGTGAGAGTCCTTCTGAGTATGATATACATACTACTACAAAGATGTCTGAGAGCTGATTCTTTCATCCTGTGTGTAGGACTGTGTGAGAGTCATGATATACATACTACTACAAAGATGTCTGAGAACTGATTCTTTCATCCTGTGTGTAGTACTGTGTGAGAGTCATGATATACATACTACTACAAAGATGTCTGAGAACTGATTCTTTCATCCTGTGTGTAGTACTGTGTGAGAGAATTAGAATGTTCTTTAACTTCCTTTGAGAATTACACTTCCCGTGTCATCAAAACAATAAAAACAATCAACTGGAAAGAATTTGAAGATCCCCACTGCACTTTTGACATTGTGGAAGCTTTCGTACAAAACCATACAAAATATGTACAGAAAAGTTTCTAGTTCTCTCAAAACATTTGTGCTGCATCTGACGTACCCCAAGTGTCCCAAGACTGCTTACTAAAAGTAGGTAGGCATCATAAAGTGTTTTAACATTATGTCTCCCAAGCAGTTCACCAACACACATCCACAGAGGCACTTCATACATGACATGTATGTATAATATCTAGAACACAGAACTACTCCAGCAGATGTGGACAGTATCTAATATCACAAAGTACAATGATGTCCATATTCCATCCTTTAAAAAGTATCTAATATCACAAAGTACAATGATGTCCATCCTTTAAAAAGTATCTAATATCACAAAGTACAATGATGTTCATATGCCATCCTTTGAAAAGAACAATGTCAACAGTTGTTCCACTGTTGTCATAGTAATGACAGTTGCTCAATTTACCTAAAACAGTAATAAGAAAGGTATGATAATTATGGATGACAACTTCTTTAATATAAAGAGGTTGTCATCCATTAGCTATCACACCTTTATTATCATTATAATAAATAAGTTGTCATCCATAAATTATCTTACCTTTCTTATTATTCATCAACTTCTAAAATGCCAGTTGAACAGATTTCCTAAGTCGGTGTTTCCTTGTCTAACTCTAACTAAAGATTAGAGTGGGTTGGACAATCTGTTTCTGTGAACTGTAGATCGTAACTATAAGATTGTTTTGGAATAGTTATATTGAAAATCAAGGACTGAAACTGCAGGACTATTTACATTACCAAGGCAACATATTTTATACTGAAAACCCAGCTTGAAAAACAGCATCAGTCTCAAATCTCTTGCATAAATCTAAACTACTGTTTGATGAATATCAGTCAATATCAGTGAAAGGAATGAATGCACAAAATGTCATCTACACCCTGTTGATATACTGCACAAAATATATGAACAATATACATAACAATAACTTCACCTGAAGGAGTAAGAATTAACTCCGAAGAGTGGTGTCTAACAAATAAAGAAGTTGATATAGTACAAACAAAAAGTTGAGAACATAAGAAATCTTGCTCGCCATCTTTAGGTGTCTCCCTCTGTCAATCACAGACTGAGGGACAGGTTCCAAGTCACTGGTAGAGTACAGAACAGACCTCTCTCTAGAAGTCCCAGAAAAACATCAAGGCCAGTGCCTAGTTGCCACAAGCTGGAGGGGAAGTCTGTCTTCCACATGCACTAGGCTGTTGTGTTTGGGTGTTTGAACCAAACATGGTGTTGGTGTGTTTCAGCACCCTTTTTTATGCTGTTTTTGACAATGTTTCATTTAACTCAAACTCAACTAATATTGAATCAGTTGCTTCACTGTATGTTCCAACATGTCGTTTAAAGTGCCAATTAAGTACACAAAAAATTGCATTTATCTTAGGTGTAAATGACCTCACCAGGTTTAAGTTTATATATATGACCATCCAATTTTAGGGTGTTCCCATACTTTTTGTTTGTAGTATATATAAAAAAATCTTTGACTCATGTTCATCAGTTGTAAATGCCCTTCAAGAAATAAATTGATCATTTGTAGTGTATCTCAAGCTGAGCTCCTAATGACGGTCAGCAGGTGCTGTAACAGGACATCTTTCCTGAACAAGAGTGAGTGAGTTTTACACATCTTCCACCAGTATTTCAGTTTTATCAGGTCATGTTTGCTTGATGTGGGGGGAAAACATAGTCATGATAAGCACATAACAATCAAGGATTATAATGAGAGAGATTCTGAGATTTGAATCCACAATCATAGGATCATGTCACATCCAAGGGACACAAATCCTCACAGTGAATATTTGCACAATGAAGCTAACCATGACCCTAGACTTGACTAGAAGTGAACAGAGACACGGCAGACTAAAAGAAAGACTTCAGAGACAATCAAAATTATCGCATGGGCAGCAGCACCTTTACAACAATCTTACCGCATTACGCGACATTCTCTACTAAACAACCCATTCATAGTGCCTGGCCTACCCATCCACTAGTAAAGGTTTTCTATTATGACAAGCAATGGCTCCTTGGGAGCTGTTCTCGTCAACAATCCCGACAGGGTCACTGTCCCAATAAAAGTAGGGAGCTGCCACACCATGTGTCATCGTGGGGTAAACTTGGGACTGGAACCAAGGTAAGGGACACAAATCTGTACCAAACTGGAACCAAGGTAAGGGACACAACTCTGTACCAAACTGGAACCAAGGTAAGGGACACAACTCTGTACCAAACTGGAACCAAGGTAAGGGACACAACTCTGTACCAGACTGGAACCAAGGTAAGGGACACAACTCTGTACCAAACTGGAACCAAGGTAAGGGACACAACTCTGTACCAGACTGGAACCAAGGTAAGGGACACAACTCTGTACCAAACTGGAACCAAGGTAAGGGACACAACTCTGTACCAAACTGAAACCAAGGTAAGGGACACAACTCTGTACCAACTAGGTAAGGGACACAGCTCTGTACCAGACTGGAACCAAGGTAAGGGACACAACTCTGTACCAGAGGTAAGGGACACAACACACTGGAACCAAGGTAAGGGACACAACTCTGTACCAGACTGGAACCAAGGTAAGGGACACAACTCTGTACCAGACTGGCAGCTAGGTAAGGGACACAACTCTGTACCAGACTGGAACCAAGGTAAGGGACACAACTCTGTACCAGACTGGAACCAAGGTAAGGGACACAACTCTGTACTACACTGGAACCAAGGTAAGGGACACAACTCTGTACCAAACTGGAACCAAGGTAAGGGACACAACTCTGTACCAGACTGGCAGCCAAGGTAAGGGACACAACTCTGTACCAGACTGGCAACCAAGGTAAGGGACACAACTCTGTACCAAACTGGAACCAAGGTAAGGGACACAACTCTGTACCAGACTGGCAGCCAAGGTAAGGGACACAACTCTGTACCAGACTGGCAGCTAGGTAAGGGACACAACAGTGTACCAGACAGGCAGCCAAGGTAAGGGACACAACTCTGTACCAGACTGGCAGCTAGGTAAGGGACACAACAGTGTACCAGACAGGCAGCCAAGGTAAGGGACACAAATCTGTACCAGACTGGCAGCTAGGTAAGGGACACAACTCTGTACCAGACTGGCAGCCAAGGTAAGGGACACAACTCTGTACCAGACTGGCAGCTAGGTAAGGGACACAACTCTGTTCCAGACTGGCAGCAAGGTAAGGGACACAACTCTGTACCAGACTGGCAGCCAAGGTAAGGGACACAACTCTGTACCAGACTGGCAGCTAGGTAAGGGACACAACTCTGTTCCAGACTGGCACCAAGGTAAGGGACACAACTCTGTACCAGACTGGCAGCTATGGTAAGGGACACAACTCTGTACCAGACTGGCAGCTAGGTAAGAGACACAACTCTGTACCAGACTAGCAGCTAGGTAAGGGACACAACTCTGTAGCAGACTGGAACCAAGGTAAGGGACACAACTCTGTACCAGACTGGCAGCTAGGTAAGGGACACAACTCTGTACCAGACTGGCAGCAAGGTAAGGGACACAACTCTGTACCAGACTGGCAGCCAAGGTAAGGGACACAACTCTGTACCAGACTGGCAGCCAAGGTAAGGGACACAACTCTGTACCAGACTGGCAGCTAGGTAAGGGACACAACTCTGTACCAGACTGGCAGCTAGGTAAGGGACACAACTCTGTACCAGACTGGCAGCTAGGTAAGGGACACAACTCTGTACCAGACTGGCAGCCAAGGTAAGGGACACAACTCTGTACCAGACTGGAACCTAGGTAAGGGACACAACTCTGTACCAGACAGGCAGCCAAGGTAAGGGACACAACTCTGTACTACACTGGAACCAAGGTAAGGGACACAACTCTGTACCAGACGTGCATTCAGTTGGTAGTGGTAGGTTGAGAGTTGATGTTATGTTCAAACAATTAACATATATCACAATATAGAATAGCAATTAATGTCATATTAAGATACGAATTATTAATGATTATCACAGACGTTTGTCTAATTCCAACACCCCTTTAAATGTGTGCTAGTTCACTATCCCCTGACTGCCAAATCATGCTATCCAACCACAGTAGCCTTCATGGACGAGTAACATTTCGAGGCATATGATTAAAAAACACTTCTCACAGCTTCGATTTTGTCTACACACTAAAACACAATAATACTGACAGAAAATGTAAACATAGCAAACATCTTTGTCTCATTCAGGCGGGACTAACTATTTAGTTTTATATTCTAACTAGTCTTTTTTAAAAAAAAACTGAATTTCTAAGGCTGCTCCAACATGAGTGCGTGAGTTTAGTTTTACACCGCACTCAGCAATATTCCAGCTATATGGCGGCAATCTGTAAATAATCGAGTCTGGACCAGACAATCCAGTGATCAACAGCATTGATCTTCACAATTGGGAACCGATGATGTGTCAACCAAGTCAGCGAGCCTGACCACCCGATCCCGTTAGTCGCCTCTTACGACAAGCATAGGTTACTGAAGATAAATCCTAACCCGGATCTTCACGGGTCTGCTTCAACATGAAACAAGCGACTGACAGCTGTCCACTTCCTGCATATGATGGGATATAATGGAACATGTTTTTATACAAATATCATTTAGGATGATGCGATTTTGTAATTATTTGTTAGTGGTGGTCTGACGGTTCATGTAAAAACTTAAGTAGATGACAGAAAGGTGATACTTTGTTACTTAAATCCCTACATGTCTTTCAACTGACCTGCCTTAAAAACAGAATTTCAAACATAGTGAAAACATAGCATGACAGCAGTATAACAGAAAAATAATGTTTCTTGTTTCACTCTATGACGGTGGTGTGTAAACAACCAGACAATCTAGTGATTGACATCACGAGCATCAATCTACACAACTAGGGTAGATGATAAGCTATCAACCTTGTCACCATTTCTGATCACATAATTATCTGTTTGCCCCAACAGCATGGGCTGCTGGAGACCTATGTTCTTACACAGGAACCAATGATTTGGAAAATAATGACAACCATCTAAACAATAGCAGATGATAAGAATCATGTTTCGCTCATGTGAATAAACACTGTTTTATGTTGCAGAGGCAATATTCCTTCCATACATTCACAACCCTGTAAATAAACGAACCTGTATAAACAAAACTGAGTACAAAATATTCAAACTATTATTATAAACAGTCCTCTTGAATATCAAACTAATTGCACTTAGGTAATGGCCAATCTCAATCAAATCAAATCTTTAACTGTGATACAATACCTCTGTGTCAAAATCTCAGGGCACCTCAATGTGGTGGTTCGAGTGAACAAAGCATTTAGAAAAGATTCAATATATCAAAAAGAATCTAATCAGGCAGTTTCAAATGACAAAAATTAAAGCTGGAAGGTTCTGTAGCTTACCTATATTAATGACAGCTTTGTTTGTGTGTGCAAAGGTTGATTGACACAGCTGGAATTATTATAACCAAAACTTGTATCAAATTATTCTGCATACTGCATTCTTACCGCAAGTCAACCCTTGTTGAAACAATTAAAAGAGAAAAGATGATATTTAATGTTTTGTTTATAGGTACACTTCTCAAAACCACTTTAGCGAGGATCAGTCCTATGTTCTAGCTCCACAATAATCATAGCTTCAGGAGACGTTTTGTTTTGGTTTTGTTTTGTTTGTTTGAGGCCGTCCACTCTTTGGAGGAGTCCACAGATCTTCATACACAGAGGTATTTTATCTGACTAAAACATGAAATTCTAATGTAACTGAATATTGGCAAGAGGGAAAATGAATAAATATATTCATAGAAAAGTATTCCATGAGTAAACACTACCAGCCAGGCAATGATATAAAGTGATGAAAACAGGAACAAAAAGGAATAAAAAAATTAAAAATATTTGTTAAAGATTATGACATTGAATTATGCTTAAACAAAACAGGTAATCATATAAAACATAAACTCTTGTCAAGTTACAAAAGACAAAATGAAAAAAAGAACAAGAAACTACAAACACAATGTACTTGAAAACAGAAGCAAAAAGATGTTTAAGCCAATTGTAGTGTAAAGGCACACAGGAAAACATACACATTGTACATGCTTCTCAATAAAAATCATCAACCCCCTAGCCGTAGAATACAAACGGTCAATAAGCAGAGGTAGGGTTTATGTACATTCCTTTCCATTGTACAAAAAACACATTGATCACTCAACTTGAAGATATTATACAATTATAGACTCTTGTAGAGGTCGATATCGGTTTTAATTGACCTGAGTAATACAATATCGACCGAGCTTGCGCGGTCGATATTGTTTTTCTCAGGTCAATAAAAACCGATATCGACCTCTACAAGAGTCTATAATTGTTTTATTATATAACGAAAGAGAAACGGGTTTTAACATAAACTTTTAATGCGCACACTGTGCCATCTATCCGAGTGATCTGATTGGCTGAAAAGCGGGGGAAGCCCCTTCGTACGGGATTCCTTGTCTATTTTTAGTAACCCAAGTCAATATCGTAATTTATCAGAAAACTCAAGTCAATATCGGGTTTTGTAGTCAATCATGTGACGGTCTCTTGACCAATCGTGGTACAGGAAAAATACAACCTATATAATAACACTGTTTAATAAAGGTACAATGTTATTAAACATTGTGTAAAAAACATTGTGTGATTCTGGACGTATGATGGCATAATGGTTTACAGTTATGACATCACAATGCTAACACCTCTGTCACACTGGTATATGGACCTTGCTTGACTCATGGAAAGCTGAGAGTCATCACACTGTAGGCAGTCTCTATCAATTTATGTTGGAGAGTAATAAACGGAATACTAAACTCGCTTCCGTGTTTAATAAAAATGGTATTACACGGAAGGTTGTTTAGTATCCTCTTTGTATAATATCTCTAACCACAGTAAGTGCGAACACATGAAACAGTTTCCAGACTAAAGTCAACTGTTGTTGTGAGTTGAAAAACATATTATACTGACAATACACCAACGAGAACAACAGTACTTTTCTCTATAACACTATAAGGAGAATTTACCAGAGCTGTGAGACTGACTAGAATGCCAGGTTTACCAAAGGCTGGGACTTAAATCTTGGATCTTGGGCTCCTGATACACTTAAGGGAGACAACCCAGCAGTGTAAATTGCAGACCCACAGACAACTGTACCACCTTTGCCTGTTCAACTACATTAGATAGAGGGTGGGACTCATTTTAAGTAAATAGAGGATATTATATAAGTGCCCATGTCATACTATGTTTACGACACAAGTGCTTAAATGTTGGTATTTCCCGAGCGAAAGCGAGGGATATTCCGATATTTAGGCACGAATGTCGTAAACATAGTATGATATGGTCGTCAAATTGAGGGCAATAAACCGAAATCTACTTTCAAACACAAGCTGGCTATCCGCCGTCGCCGCATGTAGAACGCAACGTCACAGAAGAAACGTGACGTCGTAGTCTTGTTCATGACGTCACGTCACCATGACAAGGTGATATCTTGCCCTAGGGCATCGTATGAAAAATATGAACCCCGATATGTTCGTCCTCGTAGGTAATAAATCATAATATTGATACAGATTTAAGTATATCATTACTAAATTGATAATTAACTGCCATAGAAATGTCTACATTTACTTAGATTACAATGGTAAAGATGGACGAAAAGAAAGCAAAGAAATTCTGTTTTAATGGATCAACGTGGGTCATCTTTAGCACTTATTCATTAATTGCCGTCTTAATACACATATAGAAAAACATTTTGTATGAATATAACTTGTATCACCATATCTTTTAAGACTATTGAAGCAACCTATCACTATCTACCTGTCCAATCAATGGCCGGCATTGATGCATGTACACTGTCAATGGGGAACAATGGGGTTGTGGTACTATCAACAGAAGTATAAAAATATGTACTGTCAGAAAATATACAGCCAAAGTGAAAATTTGACCAACTGATTGATGATACCATATTTATGCCTATCAATAATGACACATCTACGGACAGAGGGGAAATCTGTCAACTGAACAATAATGATGACATTTCTTCCCACAGAGGTCCGACACCCTTTCTTGGTGTCAGCGTTCAAGGCTCGTGGATTGGAGACAAATCTACGGACAGAGGGGACACAATAAATACACTGGATGGTCACAACACAATCACAGCAGATGGGGAAATCCACCGAGCCCTACATGGCGGAAAAGTTAAGCTAGATGCCTGTCAGACTGTGAGGTCAAATCGCCACACGTTGATCGGCTGTTGACAGAGTTGTCTTTTCCTGACTTTCCCGCCAAACACCAGCAGGTACGGCACACCATCCAACAAGTCCTGGAAAGGAGGACAAAGTGTTTAACAAGCACAATGTCACACATTTTTGACAATATTTCGGCCTGTATTATATATTTTGCGGCATATGCTTTAACTTCCTATTGATGCAATAAAAGACTTATTATCCCTTATGACTTGCCTGAAATTGATAATTGAAACTTTGAGGCAAACAGCTTCTAAACAGAGAACACTTGCCACATATTGAATGTAAACAATTGCTCTCTACATCGAAACAGTCGCAATTGGTGTTGTTGGTGTTTGTCAAACAAGTTTTGTGTAGGATATCCGTAAAGGGCGCTCCAAGGGACAAAACTCTATGGGGTTCGCTTGAAATAATGTTCGACCGGTAGAGGACACGAGAGTCGATTTAATGCAACACTGCATTAATTCATTTGAACTTTTTAATTTAATATTGTAATCAAAATATGTAAATAAAATCGAATAAATTATATGATAGCTTAGTATTATTGAGAGAAATGCATTATTTATTTTTAGAGAAGTGTGGTGTGATATAGTGTCTTTATAGCTTTTCTTGTCTTTATTAAACACAGGGTTCAAAGCTGCTTCAACGATTACTGCACTTTTACTGCGATGCATGCGTGCATGCACGTGTGTGCGACTGGGTGTCTGTTTGACTGCTTGTACAAGTCACGAATAATGCTGTTTTCATAGTGCCAGTATGAGATACCATGATGCAGTTTAATGTGATTATTCAATAATACATATAATTCATTTGCAGAGCACTTAACATCCACCTTAAATATGCTCAGTGGCGATAAGCGCAAATTACGAGCAAAGTGAAGACATTATTATACTACCCTGATTAACATAAGCTACTTGTGACGTCCTAAACTGTGAACAGTCATATGACCATCGTATCCCACCAGGTACTCATTCACTGCAGGGAGAACAGTGGCAAATATCTGGCTGCTTCTAAGTTTTGTCATTTTGTGGAAGGGTACTGGTACTTATATCTTACTATAGTTGACAGGTTTACAGAGATTGACATTTGTGAAACAGCACTGTGCTTACCATTCCTTCTTGTTGGACAGATGGTATCCTCTCACCCATGCTGCTAGGTCCAAGATCAAGGTTACTTCCTGTCTGAGTAGCTACTGTCACAAGAACTTTCTTATATCCTCCAGGTGGAACTTTCACCTGTACATCACAATCGTCACAATTATCCTGAGAACTATTCACACCTGAGCATGGAACAGATGCTGTATCCCTTGACAATGGACTATTGAAGGTCGTGCTGAGGTCATGACCCGACCTTGACCTCTGGCCTTCAATAGAGCTGCCCATTTCAGATATATGAAAGGACTCAAGCTCAATCCAGTCTTCTGGTAACACCTGTGTCGACCCCTTGGTGAAGATGTAGGGACTGGGCACCTTAACAGGCGACACCTGTTGTTGCTCAATGTCTTCAATATACAAATCATCACAGTTCTTGGAGTAAATAGCTTTGAGAGAAGTGGCTCTGATGGTAGTATGATTTGCAGGACTGGTGTGAACCAGTGTCGAGGTCATCAGAAGATGGGAATGGGTGGTGTCACCATCGGGTTGATGATGATTCGGAATGGGTGGTGTTGTTCGGAGGCTTTCACATGAGTAAGACATGGGAGCTTGATGAGTATGTACAACAGAAGATTGTTCTTTGGTATTAAGAGGTTTGGCCGGTAAATCGGAGCATGTTTTACTTACAGGAACCTGAGATTCATCTGCAGTACAGTCCACTACATTGTCAATTCCAACACTTTCATTCGAATCTCGAGACACAAATCTCAGTAAAGGTCGTTTGTCGTCACCTGTGATGACCTTTGACCTCGGAGCATAATCATGACCTTTGACCTCGGTCATCTGTACATTATTTATACTACTGTCTTCCAAGGTGAGAATATCACAGTTTCTTGAGGCAGACCTCACAGGGTACACCCACGACGTCTGTGGAGTGTCTGTTGTCACTGAAGGGCTCGTCCGTGGACGCCCAGCATTGATCTTACTTGAACCAGGCTTGGGGCTCTGTAATACTGATTCAGAGAAACACCTGACAGAGTTATCTCCCCCTGCATCTTGACTGTTGCTACTGGAAACACACACTGTTGCATGCTGGGAGCAGGGTAGAGGATGATGAGGACTGGGGGGGAAGGCAATCTTCCTCCACATAGTTGTATCTGTGAACAGCATCAGTGATATGATCACACAAAGAGAAAGACATGAACTTATATTAACATTATTACCATGCCTCGATTGGTCAATCAGAATTCTCAAATCAATCAATCAATCAATCAGTTTATTGCATGAAGGCCAGAGGCCCATATACAAAATAAATATGTATGATATGTACAACATATACAACATGCAACACACACGTTACATTGAATCTCTTCTCAATATAAGCGCGTGATAAATAAATAGAGCTACCTTATATTGTAATAGGGATGCTTTACAGGAAAGTATTGAATACAATTTTGTAGCATTAATATTTGATTGTAGCCATTGTGGAAAATACAGTTGCCTTAAATCATTATATGCAGGACAAAGAAATAGAAAGTGTAATTCATTCTCTACAGTATTACAAAATGGACAGAACCTTTGTGATTTTATAATAGATGAATATCTTCCTTGATTGATATATAAATCATTTAGGCCAAGTCTCAGGCGTATGAAAACATTACGAAGCTTTTTACTACGTAAGTTGTATAGATACGACTCAGGTTCAAGTAAAGATTTAAACTCACGATAACAATCATATCTTGAACTTTCAAAATAACTGAATGAAATGTCAACATCACTGGATCAACAGTTCTACAACAATATTATTAACAGGAAGTACTTCTTGGCTCGCTAACTTGGTTGACACATGTCATCGTATCCCATATGCGTAGATCGATGCTGATGATGTTGATTACTGGATTATTTACAGTATTGAATGTTTATAGAATACCACCATATAGCTAACCACAAGTGCAGTGTTAACTAACAACAAGTTATTGCTCCGTTAAAGTAGGTAGGAAGTTTTCAATACATTTATGTACAATTGTAGGTAACCCATGAAAAAACACTTACCACAACATTCAAGGTATGTGTGGCACTACCTTTTCAGCTCAGTATTATTTGTTACACTGCTGTACTGAGTCTAACTAACCCTAGTAGAAGGTCGCGTCAGCTAACCTTTGAGCTACCTATGACCGTCCTATCAAACCCGAGACGGACGAACGGATTTAGCCAATCAGACAACAGCTAATTGATAGGGTTCGGCGGGACCTACAAAACAGTTTTTGGATTTTCTCTTCATTGGTCGCGCTGACACTGATCTAACAACAAACGGAAATCCGCATAAAACACAGATATTTGATCTGCAGTATATACGCTTTGGGGTTCCTTATCAGGTTACTATGAGCTTACGTTTTTGCAAGATGACATCCTTGAATATTGACGAAAAGGATATTTTCAGCATCTGTTACTCATTGCGTCTTCCATGTGTATTACTCGGAAGCGATCATGCAGAAAATAGCATTTGGAATCCTTTGAGTTTTTTAGGTAAAGGTTCAAACAGTATGTGCGAATGTTAACTTTTGTGATTTGGTAAGCTGTGTGCTGATTGGTCAGTCCAAAAGGGTAGCTGACGCGACCTTCTACTAGGGTCAGGCTCAGCATAGCAGTGTAACGAATAATACTGAGCCTAAGTGTACAAAGACTGCAAGGTTAGTACATTTTGGACACAACAGGTAGCTTGAAATTTGGCCTGTTTTTACTGATGTCATTATAGTGTTGCATGGGCAAATCTTGTTACACTCTACAACATGGCGAAGGACAATGTGTATTGCAAGACTTACTGAAGTAGAAGAGCCAGACATCACTGTACAGCTGCCCCTGGTTCTCTCCGCCCACAACCACCATGCTCTCCCTCACCTGCAACAACATACTGTCATAACAGCAATATCGCATACCACTATAATAGAAGCCATGCATAACATCGTCATGGCAACATCAGTTCCATAGTACTGTAATCGTATATATTTTCACGAGGTGCAATTTTCGCAGAAAGTTCACAAAAGACCTGTTAGCACAGTAGTTTTTTCACGCATTTCGAACACCTGAGTGATGGTATCCATCACAAAGTTTTCACAACATGCATGCAATGATCAAAGCTAGCCACCAATGAATAATTAATGAATTAAGGAAGAGTGTATGCTAGGACCAGGGTTTTACATGACGCGTTATTCCTGCGTATTTGACACAACAATTTTGTAAACGACTCTCAAAATATTATCATACGAGTCAAGCTTGACGCAAGTTTTATGGGTGACCCTCACAACTCAGTTCAATAAAATCGATTTCATAAGCAAAAAATGATATTGTCAGATTGTTCCAGAGAACTCAGAGGACACAGTAATCCTGGCTGTTTGAATTGAACAATGCTGTAGTTTCATTTGGTGGTGTGACATACATTTACATACTGAGAATGATTAACACAAAGAAATATTAAACTTTTCATGACTCCCAAATATTGAAAATGACTCCCCAAAATAAATATTGTGAGTCACCAAGACTCCCATTTTTAAAAGTCTATGTAAAACCCTGTAGGACTTACGATAATTAAACATTGAAATCATAAAGTTTGTTGTTTATGAACACGTTTTGTTCACATGGTCAAATCACTGATTGGCTGCATTAAACAAATTGCATGTTGTTCCTACTTGAGTATTTGTCATGACTTGACCTTGAATATTTCGCTTGGTATGATTATTGACGCACAATCTTTTTGCGCTAAAAGCGCGAAAATTAATCCCATGCAAAAATAACTATGATGTAACTGATGCACCACACACCATCAAAAAATATAGTTTACCATGATAATACAAGCAGCATTGCATACCATTTTTAAGGCACAATGTCAAACCACACTTCTTTTAAAAAAATAATAATGCATTTCTCTCAATAATTCTAACTATCAGCCCTCAGGGAAGCTACCATATAATTTATTCCAAAATGTTTTACGTATTTACATTAAAATATTAAATTAAAAAGTTCAAATGAATTAATGCAACATTGCATTAAATCCACTCTCACACCCCCTACCGGCCGAACATTATTTCAAGCGAACCCCATAGAGTTATGTCCCTTGGAGCGCTCTTTACGAATATCCTAAGCACAACTTATGATTGAAACCAGTTTGACAAACACCTACAACACTGTGTGTGACAGTTTTCGATGTACGGAGCAATTGTTTACATTCCATATATGGCAAGTATTCTCTGTTTGGAGGCTGTTCGCCTCGAAGTTTCAATTATTGATTTCAGGCAAGTCGTAAGGGATAATAAGTCTTTCACTGCATCAATAGGAAGCTAAAGTCAGTGTATATGCCCCAATAATATAATATATAGGCCATGATATTGTCAAAAATGTGTGACATTGTGCCTCTAAAATTAACAGCATTGCATAAAAGCAAAATAGCTGCATACCCCAATGTCACATGTAAGATTTTTGCACTTTCATAGTGACATGTCAAGAAACAGATGACTGCTCTTTTGCCTGTCAGATACTATTATCTTACAACTCTTTCTTTCGATAAATATCTCATTTGGTTTTGCTTATTAGTTAAATTTTGAAATAACTCGTAAGATGAATTGTATCTCACAGACATTTTTCAAACAATCTATGTGAACAGGTCCACATTTTACCATAGCGGGTACCCAGTATACGGACTCGGAGCCGACCAAGCCAAACAATTGTTGTCCTATACCCTTACTCCTAAGCACAAGGCAGGGTAACAACAAGAACCTTCTTTCGATGACTTCCAGGGAGTGAAACCTCCAGTCTAGTCCATCTCACAGTCCCTGAACCACATTACTTGCGCTTCCACCCAGCCCTTTCTGTAATGCTTAAGCTCTAACAGAAGCAAGTCTAGATTTCCTCATGTTCTGAATCCCCCATCTCATTAAGGCTCCTTTTCAGTTTAAAGGAATAAATTGTTTCTATCAAAACTATATATGCTTAGAGAATAAGCGTTAGTCTATCTTCAGGCAAACCCCACGGAAGTGGTCCTGTAACCATGATAACACTGACTGAGTTTGGTTTTACGCCGCTTTTAGCAATACTCCAGCAACAACACGGCGGGGAACACCAGAAATGGGCTTCATACATTGTACCCTTGTGGGGATTCGAACCCGGGTCCTCGGCGTGACGAGCCAACGCTTTAACCACTAGGCTACCCCACCGCCCCACCATGATAACATGTCATGGTGACATGGTGAGTTATACTTACAACATCGGCTGTGTGACCCGTCATAGGAGGGGGACCTTGGACTGTCTTGATCCTCTGCCACTTCTGACTCACTGGAAAACATGAATACATGGTCAACATTAACACTCTCCATAACTCTATTACAATAACTTCAGTCTGAACCAGTACTTAGCTTGTTTCTTCTAATATTCAGCTATTGTACAGCCAGTATTCAACTAGCACTAAACAGTATTTAACTAGCATGAACCAGTATTCAACTAGCATGAACCAGTATTCAACTAGCATGAACCAGTATTCAACTAGCATGAACCAGTATTCAACTAGCATGAACCAGTATTCAACTAGCATGAACCAGTATTCAACTAGCATGAACCAGTATTCAACTAGCATGAACCAGTATTCAACTAGCATGAACCAGTATTCAACTAGCATGAACCAGTATTCAACTAGCATGAACCAGTATTCAACTAGCATGAACTAGCATGAACCAGTATTCAACTAGCATGAACCAGTATTCAACTAGCATGAACCAGTATTCAACTAGCATGAACCAGTATTCAACTAGCATGAACCAGTATTCAGCTAGCATGAACCAGTATTCAACTAGCATGAACCAGTATTCAACTTGCATGAACCAGTATTCAACCAGTATTCAACTAGCATGAACCAGTATTCAGCTAGCATAAACCAGCATTCAATTATCACGAACAAGTATTCCACCAGCATAAACCAGCATTCAACAAGCACAACCAGTATTATGCTAGCAACAACAACAGTAAGCTATTATGGACCAGTGTTCTGCTAACATCATCCCACTAATACTGCAGCAAGTATTCTCACAGAAATGGTAGCTCCACAGATCAGCCTTGAGGGTGAGGTCACACAGCCCCCCGAACATCCACATGCTGTTGCAGTGCATGACACTGCTGTGGCCATGACGACCACCAGGCATCTCCGCCGATGCTGGGGAAATGAATTGCCAGTAATCTTCATCTGCATGATACCCCCATAGTTCACTGCTGGACCCCCTCAGATCCACGAAGCCTCCATATATGTACATAATCCCACAATGCATCACTGCCGAGTGGTCCCTTCGACTGGTTGGCTGAGGCACGGTGACATCGGTGCAGGGCTTGTGAAGAAACAGTTGATCTGTGTAAACAAACAACATCCTTGTCACAGCTACATCGAACAGTCATACTCTCTTGGAACTTACGGGGCGGTGGGGTAGCCTAATGGTTAAAGCGTTGGCTTGTCACGCCAAAGACCAGGGTTCGAATCCCCACATGGGTACAATGTGTGAAGCCCATTTCTGGTGTCCCCCGCCGTGATGTTGCTGGAATATTGCTAAAAGCGGCGTAAAACCAAACTCAGTCAGTCAGTGAGTCTTGGTACTTCCAATATATGACCCTTGAAGATCCAAATTAGAATTTGTCTTCAGCAAACAATGCTAAGGGAACGGGTGGTCAGGCTCGCTGACTTGGTTGACACATGTCATCATATCACAATGGTTAACATCTATGCTCATGATGTCAATCACTGGGATGTGTGGTCCAGACTCGATTATTTACAGACAGCCATCATATAGCTTCAAGATTCCTGACAAACTTACAATATACAGCAATTACTGTTGTATTCATCTTCCTTTTAACATTGTTCTACCCAACAGTGGGTTCCCGTGTTATTTCCTGTTTACAGGGGGCGGTGGGGTAGCCCAGTGGTTAAAGCGTTGTCTCGTCAGGCCGTAGACCCGGGTTTGAATCCCCACATGGGTACAATTTGTGAAGCCCATTTCTGGTGTCCCCCGCGCCGTGATGTTGCTGGAATATTGCTAAAAGCGGCGTAAAACCAAACTCAGTCAGTCAGTCCTGTTTACAGTCGTACACAATGCTCACACTTTATAACATCAGTCTGTAATGAGCATAGACCCGACAATCCATTGATTGTTACCTTTCCTCACACATAAATGTTGTTTTCTGATTGGCTGAGCCAATCAATGTACCCAGCTTACAAGTGAGTAACACTGTCTATGTTGCCCGCTGGAAATACCGAACTGTGGAATTTGTTTGGTACTTCATGTTAGTAGTGTTTAGCTGTTGCCTAACTCCAGTACACCTTATTATGATCCAATACCCGTGCTTCAAACAGTTCAAACATAACATTGAGGTGTTCGTTATGTTTCAACTGTTTGAAGCACGGGTATTGGATGATAATAAGGAGTACTTGTTTATGTCCCCCACCTTTCTTGTTCAGGGTGCCATTGTACAAAACAACCTTAGCGCTAAGTCTACCTTAAGCCTATGTTAAGGTATGGGAGTTATGGTCACCTTATCGCTAAGACCGCTTTGTTCAACGGCACCCAGGTTACATAAACAAACATAGAGGGTACATCAACCCATATCCCCCTCATGATCAATGAACAACTTATATCTTGAGCAACATTCCCATCTGTCAAGAAATGATGACATCCAAGTCACAAATCCTGACCATCCAATACACTCAGTCACCTTGTACAACAACCATAGGCTGCTGGGGAGCAGTTATAACAAGGAATCACCATGAGTGTTGATCAAACATGGATTCTACCATGACTTCAGTAAATACTCAATTGTGATTGGTTAATCAAAGTCATTCAGAGGTATATAATCACACAAGTTTCATACAATGTTCAGTGTTCATGCACAGCTATAAACACTGTTAATGTCAACATTCCACATAAACTGTCGGGAATAACATTTTTTTAACATTAATGAATCTTGAAATCTGACCTATGTTAAAGATCCACAATGGCGGCTCAGTCCCTGCACTGAATTCCCCACCAAATATCAACAGCATCCTCTGAAACACGACAGACAATGGCATCAAAACAAACAAACAAACAGACTTACAATATAGTGTGGTCAATATTTAGATCAATTTGTTAATATGTAGAGTGGTCACAGGCCAACATTCAGCCCCAAGTTTCCAAAATTTTAACAGAATTTTTCAGTTCATGTAAAATCAGATTTTTTTCAGTTTGTGTTAATATTATCATAACTATTGATATTACAAGTGTTTATCAGTGTTGACTTGTGTGGGTTAATAACAGACTAGTCACTCACAATGTGCAGATCAATAATCAGAAATCTATCAATAATCAACTGTAATCATCAACCCAACACAAAACTCCAGTGAGCAATAACAGGACACAATCATAACATTGTGTGAACGAAACACGGACCCAGTTAATACCACGACCATGACGATTGAGGATACTTCCTGTTTAGACACAAATGAAAGTATTATTATTATTTTTTATTATTATAGGATATTTATATAGTACACATATCCAGGCAACTACTGCATGCTCAAGGCTGCTGGTATATTTTTCCCTCGATCATTGGATGTCAATCTCAACAGCACATCGTTTTATCAATCTCAACTCCCTGGGAGTATACAACTCTTGCAGCCACTAGGTGCACCGAGTTATTGTGGCTTTCTCATCCTAACGAGGTACCCATTCACAGCTGGGTGGACTGGGACACATAGTCACAGTACTTTCCAAGTCCAAGTTCACCAAGTACCCGCAACTAGGTGTTTGCACGTATTCATGTGGCCACCATCTGGTCATATACCTACGGATTCGTGGGTTCTTTTAAGTGCACAGGGTTGTGTACTATACACTAACGAAAGTATGTTGTTTACATCACAGTTTTACGAGTCAGGAAACTGCATCAGTTGTTTATATCTTGATTTAACAAACAAAAATGAAAAACATCCCTTCTAAAGTCTAATTCCATGTTTCATTGTTAATGAATAGTGATCAGTATCCCATGGTCATCAACAATTGATCAATCACTCCAGTGAGTGAGAGTTTAGTTTTACACCACACTCAGCAATATTCCAGCTATATGGCAGCTGTCTGTAAATAATCGAGTCTGGACCAGACAATCCAGTGATCAACAGCATGACCATCGATCTACAGAATTTGGATACGATGACATGTGTCAACCAAGTCAGCAAGCCTGACCACCTGATCACTCCAGCACTAATGGGACCAACATATATCACACCCATTAACGCCCATTTTTCTATTTTTACACTGAAAGCAATGCTTCATTCAGTATTGAAATACCTTTGAAACTTATAGAACTATTTTCTAATTCCCTTATAAAATCCCAATTTTGAAAGTAAATTGTTTTCCCCAATTTCCCTACCAAGGGACTTAATTTGGAACACTAAATAATTCCCTGTTTAATGTTCCACTTCTATATAATTGAAATCAGTCCCAGGCAGAGGATAATAAAAATGTAAGAGCACTATGAACATTTTGTTTGTTTGCTGTGCAGGTGACAGTTCTCGATTGGAACAGATGGGATAAATAGTCCATGATCAGCAAAATAGTTCCACAACAGATTTTCTGAAGCACGTATGACTATCATATTCCCTCTCTCACCCGACTTCGAAAAAGTGTTTTCTTAATTCATGGCATTTACTATAAATAACATGATAGCTGCTTGTACATTTGTTCTAACTGAAAATTACTTTATTCACTTTATTCAGCATAGTCCTGCAGTTGATGTTTATTCCCCCAAAATATGTATACATAGGTCTAATTCCTCTCTCACGTATGTTTTTTTGTTGTTTTTTGCCGCACTCAGCAATATTCCAGCTATATGGCGGCGGTCTGTAAATAATCGAGTCTGGACCAGACAATATAGTGATCAACATCATGAGCATCGATCTGATAACATGATGACATGATGATGACATGTGTTAACCAAGTCAGCGAGCCTGACTGACCATTCACATTATTCGCCTCTTATGACAAGCATGGGCTGTTGAAGATTCTAACACGGGTCTTCACAGGTTTTCTCACATCTGTATCCACAGCTGTTGCATTTGACTGACCTTGTGTGAGACGATGGTGTGACCCTGCAGATGTGGCAGTGATGTTCCCCGATACGTCAGACGTTCCCATGTTCCGCTACCTGCAAACATAGGACTTCAGTTTAGCTGTTTTACACCACAGTTGTCAAGATACCAGTTATATCATGGTGCCCTGTAAATTACTGATTTTGGCACAACAAACAAACTTGTTCACATTGATAGGCATCATCCATTGGGTAAGATGACACAGGTTTAAAAAGTCATTGGGCTCCATTCACAAAAGCATCGTAACTCTCGCAAGTCCATGTTAAGGTATGGAAAGGTGACATCGTCTTAGCACTACAGCTGCTTGTGGAGAGGGTCTCTATGTCGCATGTCACAAAAACTATACTCATGGAAACAAATAAGGGAACACATGAAAGAACAAGTGTTCCTTTATTGTTTTCCAGGTTTCTTCACAAGGTATGTATTGCACTGTTAGTGAAATTCTGGAAATAAATAAAGGAACACTTGTTCTTTCATGTGTTCCCTTTATTTGTTTCTATGAGTATATTCCAGCACAATTTATTCTACCTATGGACCCATGATGTACATAAACATGGCAGTATCTGTGTTTGTGGCAAGGGAGGTTGGGAGAGGATTAGATGCACACATCCACTTCATGATGATCAGACAGAAGCAAATGTCTCTACACTTTGATTCACGTGTTTTAGAGAAGCAGGTCACATACCTAGATGGTAGCGCCAGAAATCCTTCAGAGGTAGTGTGTTGTCCTTCCCACTGCAGATGTAGACCTGACCGCCGTGCCCACACGCTGCATGCTTCAGTCGGGTTCGAGGACAGCCATTGCATGCTGGGAGTGCCTGGATCTCCCTCCATGAACAGGAGAGCTCCTGTTTCGCGTTGTTGTGTTCATATGTGGTGTTTATTTTCATTGTTCGTGGTAGATCCTTGTGTGGAACATAATGAAAATCTGGGAAATAAACAAACAAACATCATGTTACTGACTGACTGAGTTTGGTTTTTCGCCGCTTTTAGCAATATTCCAGCAACATCACGACGGGGACACCAGAAATGGGCTTCACACATTGTACCCATGTGGGGATTCGAGCGAAGGGTCTTCGGCGTGACGAGCCAACGCTTTAACCACTAGGCTACCCCACCGCCCCTCATGTTACTGAATGTGGCCGCGTCAATTTAACGGGAAACAAACAGACATCATGTTACTCAATACGTCTGCATCAATTTAACATGCAAACATCCCAGACACTAGGAACGAATCAAGTCGCTAAAGCTTTGAATGTCATCAATACTAACGTACAGGCGATACTTGTATTGTTAGTTTGTGAGATCACAATATACTATTTATTTCTGAGTTTCATGCGACTCACAAATGTGAGTCTGGTACAAACAATATAGAGAATGGACACAGAAAATCAAAGACATCATATCCAGAGAGACGCACAAATTTACCGGGAGCATACCTACAGGGCAGGGGTGGAAATAACTTTAAAATTGCTAGTGTACTCCGGTACAGTGGCACATGTAAAATCACTTGCCCTGATAATTTTTCCACTATACTGGCTGTCTTCTGGTTGATTTTTTAAATAAACAACATAATTAACATTGGAAAGTCAAGTGGACACCGTTACAGTGTGATATACAAATTTGCTTGCCCGACAGAAAGAAACACTGGACTCGGACGTCGGGCAATAGGTTATTTCCACCCCTGCAGGGAATCAAGAGTACATATCTGTCTGTTATTTCACCCATCAGTCGCGACCACTGTCCACATACCACGGATTAATTGTAGGCTCTGAAGTAATTATCTGAACGTGCACTACACAACACCATTTCAATGCTCTAAAGGATCCTCATATTACAGTCATTCCATGCAGTAATGCCCTTTGCGATATCTTGGTTTCGGTTAAACCGCGTGGTGATCTGTGGCTCCCATAAAAACTTGCCCATCGATCACACATCTTCACGTCATCGGAAATAGCATATCAATAAGTCTGCTGTAATGTTCAGTGCCAATTGCAGTAAAAAGTGTTCATTGTACACATCCTTGTGTTATGGGTTTTGTACCAGTCAAGATAAAACCCTGCTATTGACAGAACTAGATCTGATAGAGTCAACTCCTGGGATGCTGGAAGTGTTGGGGCATCTGTAAGTAAGGTTGAACATGAAGATGTGATGATAAATAGTGTATTCACTAGCATACCAGTTATCTCTCAGGGTGTTTACTTAATGTATGAACAAAGCCCAAAGTGACGAATGTCTTTTTTTTTTCTTTTTTTTTTTTTTGGGGGCATTTACATTGTACATGCCTCTCTATAAAAATCATCATCAATATTGCTAAAAGCCCCCTCCCTCCCTCCCCTAGCCATAACTTATGAAGGGTCCCTAACATCGTTCTGTTTTCAACAAGAAAATCTGACTAAACCACTTAGATTGTGAAAATACCTACCTGAACAAAGTTATTACTCCAAATGAGACTAGCAGACATCCACATATTGAAGGCACATACAAATAAAGCCCCCTCTCTTCACACAGTTGGAAAACCTGGCTGTCAGGCCCCAAGTCATTACGACACCGATGTGAAAACAACTGTTTTGGAAACGTAACTTCACCACAACAAAGATGTCGTAACACACCAGTGATTCAAGAGTTCAGCAAACTCTGTTGCAATACATACAAACATAGCTCCAGTCAATCAATCCTTATGTCTGCACTGAACAGGTCACAGGCATTTATAGCACATAGATACAATTTGAGAGAAGGGCACTCAATAAAGGAGTGGTTTTCCTATACTTAATGGCACGATATTAAATAAAGACTGACAATGGCTTGCTGGGGAATTGAACAAAAATTTCAATTCAAAGACATTTGACAAGACAAAGTTCTGATATATATATTTGTTAATGATGCATATGCTTGACATACAAATTGTGTACTTCATTTAAATAACACACAAGGACAATTTGTTCTTCTGTCTGGATTTTGTACAACCAATTTCAACCAACATGAATTTCTAGCTGGATTTTATGGATATTTCTGTACAGCGACATAAAATAACTTCTTTGAGTGGCATTTAGAAGTTGGAGAGATCCATGGATATACAACTATGTTATTATTAATATGAGCGACATTTCAGCTTCTAAAACCGTTATCAAGCAAGTGATGACATGCTTGATAATGGTGTTAGTAGCTACACCGAAACATCGCATAGGATGGACAGAAGGAAATAGATGTTTTCGTTTTTAGCTTGGGTCATCTGCACGAGATTTTAAAACCCACGTGCATATACGCATAGCGACGGGTCTATTTGGGCGAGCTGACCCAAGCTAAAAACGAAAACATCTTTTTCCTTCTGTACACTCACATTTATAATAAAGAAGTTGTATATCCATAGAACTCACATCGATGTTCAGAAACATAAAATGTTTGGAGTATTATGTAATTTTTATACCTGCACAAAGTTTAGTTATTTGATACTGTTGTATACAGATTATATTATATATTTGGAGCGGAATCTATATGAAGGTCTTACTGATAAGTGTCACAAACAAGGCCTGGATATCTACCACATTTGTCACCATCATATCTAGGGCTGTGTATTGGCAAATAAATTGTATTGCAATATATTGCAATTCAGGTACGTGTATTGCGATACGTACTGGAACTTAAATGTTTGAGACAGTGAGCGACACTAATAGTACATGTCGATCCAACTTTCTACATTATAAGTCCCTAAACATATATGTTATGGTTCTGATAACAGCTATCTCAAAATTAGGTTGCATAGTCATGGATTGTATTATTTTATTTTTTTCACAATTTATAGTATTACAGTATGCCGTTGTGTCATTGAATAATGAAGGAAAAATTTGTTGTGAATGAAAGTATGTGTCGATCTTAATTTAAACCATAAAGATAATCACCATAACTAAGGGCTAAGGTAATGAAATTACTGTTTCCTTTCTTTTGAAATAATGCCACTGGCCACTGTCAGGACTCAGTTGGATTGTACAAGCGATCAATTGAAAATGTTTCCAAATTGAAGACTTCGCTCTAAAGTTTTGTACTCGAGAAAAAGCACTACAGCGGTGTGAGCTATTTTGGGTTGTTTATCAATACAAGAGTGCCGGTACCAATCTATCTTTTTTAATTTATTTATATGGTTTAAAAGTCATGCAAATGCAATTACATGACCAATAAACGTTCTCAAATATATTAATGTATAATAACATAAAGGCAATGCAAATGTTATTAGTATTTATGACTACATCACGAAACTTACCGATCATGGTCACGGAAATTGCCGATCGTATCAGGTGAACCGGTTCGCGAAAAGTGTACTGCAATATATCGTATTGTGAAGTTCGAATTGCAATATACCGGTTAACTGGTATTATTGCCCACCCCTACCGGTTCTCAGAAAAAATATTGCAATATGTATCATTTGGAAAGTGTATTGCAATATACCGGTTATACTGTGCAGTCCTAAGCATATTTGGTATATTTATCATTAGGACAAGAATTCTGCTGCAGACCCGTGAAGATCCTGGTTAGAATTGATCTTCAGTAACCCATGCTTGTCATAACAAATAACGGGATCGGATTATCAGACTCGCTGACTTGGTTGACACATGTCATTGGTTCCCAATTGCGCAGATCGATGCTCATGCTATTGATCACTGGATTTTCTGGTCCGGACTCGTTACTCACTCGCTCACTCACCATGCGTATCCCAATTGCGTAGATCGAAGCTCATGCTTTTGAACACTGGATTGTTTGGTCCAGTGTCGATTATTTTCAGATAGCTGCCATATAGCTGGAATACTGTTAAAACTAAAAGTGGCGTTAAACAACAAACAAAATTTTGTTCAATACAAACAGATACACTATTTCTACAACATAGTTCAGTCCCTAAACCTCAGCTCCTTATAGTATTATTGGACCCAATTTGACATCAAACCAGGGATGGAAATAACTTTAAATTGCTAGTGTACTCCGGTACAGTGGCACATGTAAAATCACTTGCCCTGATAACTTTTCCACTATACCGGCCGTTTTCTTGTTGATTTTTTAAATAAACAACATAATTAATATTGGAAGGTCAACTGGACACCGGTACAGTGTGATATCCAAATTTGCTTGCCGACAGAAAAAAAAACACTGGACTCGAAGTCGGGCAATGGGTTATTTCCACCTGCAATCACGTATGTAGACAGTCTATCTTTAATATCCTCTACAAATGAGGCTATTATAAACTCCTGATCAGTAAAAATTAAACCTGAAGGGACTCGCCAAAATTGTTTACTTATCAGGTATTTTACTTATCAAACTTATCAAAACCTGGAAATGACAACCAAATGCATGTACAATGTACATGTGTATGTATTCAGCAGAAGAACAGACAACATTTGTAAGTAATATGACATGATTTATTCCCTAACATTTCATTGCGTTAAGTAATACATTTATAATACAAAGTAATAAAAATCAAGCATAATGAAACAAAATATTTTAGTCTAACAGTCTAACCTTTTACTCCACAAAAGATGTCACGAGGGATTGTCTCTTTGTAAAACATTTCTTCACTTCATTTCCTTCTCTGTAACATAGTTGGCCACCATGTTGTAGCCTGTCATTACACTGTATCTCTCTGTTTTATACGATAGCATTTGTGTTAAATAAACAAGCATTTTTTCCAATTGATCTTATTCCGATTTCGCGAGATTTTATTACTTGTCACGTGACCGTAATGGCGGCCTGCTTCATGTCATTCACCATGTAAACTGGATAAACTCACTGTCATTGCTGATTGGTCTAATCACTGATACTCGCAAGCTACATAAAACAATGAACAACTTATCAGGGCTGGCTTCCAGTTGTCAGTGTATTGTCAACTGCATGACGCCAGCGAGCTGTAAGTAGGATGTTTGTTTAGCCGGAGACTGATACGTG